TCAACCACACTACTAAATATTGTTAGTATCATATTATCATTGCTGTTTTATGGATGATGAAGCCAGAAAGGCAACATATCAGTCACTTGCCCATGCTAGCACAGCTAATAAGCCACATATACCTGGTACATGCTTTGAATAATTATGGTCCCCATAGGTTCATGTGTTTGGATGCTTGACCATAGGGAGTGGCACTCTCAGGAGGTGTGGCCTTGTTGGAGGAAGTGTGTCACTGTGGGAGTGGGCTTTGAAGTCTCCTGTGCTGAAGCTACGCTCAGTGTGATACACAGTCTCCATGTGCTGCCTGTGGGTCAATATGTAGAACTCTCAGCTCCTTCTCCAGCACCACGTCTGCCTGCACACTGCCATACCACTTGCCATGATGATAATGGACTAAATCTCTGAAACCGTAAGCCAGCCCCAATGAAATGCTTTCCTTTCTAAGAGTTGCTGTGGTTATGGTGTCTTACAGCAATAGAAACCCTAACCAAGGCACTGTCTTCTCTGACTCAGCTCAACCGTGTTCTACTGAGGCATGATGCTTTTTGGGAAAGTTTCTTCTGAGTCATTTCTGCTTGGTACAGTTTGAGTCGATGGATGTCAGACTGCTCAATAGCATTTTCTGTTTTTTTTCTGGAGGCTGGGTCACTCTGTGGAGATTGGTGTGTCACCTCAGGAAATGGCTGGTTCCTGTAGCACAGATTATATCTTACAGGAGAAGTGTCTGAGGGAGAAAAGTGACCATGCCACAGCAAAATATGAAAGAAACAAGAGGTGAGGGTTATGGCTTTGCCTTGGTTTCCTAGGTGATGTAGAAATAGATGCTGGAGATGGTGGTCCAGGGCCTCCCAGACCAGCTCTCAACAAATGGTTTCTGAGCAATTCCTTATTAAGAAATATATAGATTTTGTAGTTAATGAAAGGTAAGGAGTAGGGGGAGTTCTTTTCTACAGAGCAGTTTGATTGGGGAACGTAAATCCTTCCCTTTTCCTTCCCTGATCCCTCTCTGAGACAGACTCTTGAGTAGTCCAGGATGTCCTCCCTGTGTGGCCAATGATGGTCTTGAACTCCTGATCCTCCTCTTTCTACTTTCTGAGTACTTGGATTCCAGGCACGTGCATTGTGCTGGGTTTGTATGAAATGGAACCCTTCACGGCCCATTTCACTCCTGGCTTCTTGATGCTTCCTGGCTGAAGTGGTAATTCATGTTTCCCCTCTTCCATATGAGCAAGACATTAGCAACGTACTAAGTCCTCCTATGATGGCCCAGTTAGCTCAACAGATTATGTTTTAAACCAATAAAATCATTTCATAGACAATGAGTTATGTACCCAATTAAAAAATAATGCACATGGATAATTTGCATTTTATAAAGTTTTTTTAATGAGGCCTACTTCTCTTTGTCATTCAAGATATATTTATTCCAAAAATTATGTGCCCCTTATCCCAGGATGGTGTCATTGCATATGCCTGTCATCTCGCACTCAACAGACTGAGGCAGGAGGATTAAGAGTTTGAAGCTAGCCTGGCCTATGTGACGAAACTGTATTTTTGTTTAAAAAAAAACAAACCAACCGAGAAACAAAATATTATGCTCCAATATTTCTTCGTTTTCTATTTTATAATTTTAAACAAACTACTAAAAGTAACTTTTAAATCTATTTTTAAATAAATTTTTAACTTTTATTTTCTAAAAAATCATATTACATTTATTTTTTACACTTGTGTGTACAGATGTGTGCATGTGTATGTGTGTGTGTGTGTGCGCGTGCATGCGTGTGTGTGTGTGTCAGTGCCATTGAGTATGTATGGTCAGAGGACAACCCAAGGATGTTAGTCCTCTCCTTCTACCTTGTAGGGTGTCTAGGGACTGAACTCAGGCCAGCAGGCTTTGTGGCAAGCACCCCTACCTGCTGAGCTACCTCCTGACCCTGCTGAGACTTTCTCCTAATGAAACATGCACTGGAGCCCAGTCTGCTCCTTATTTCCACGATGGATCTTCAGGCGTTTCTGTCACAATCATCACCCTTTGGTTCTACAGGTGGAATAAACTGGAATGGTATGTTGGCCAGTCAGTCAGGAGGGCCTCGTGTCTGGGTGCTGTGATCCTGAAGTGTCTGCAGGGTGTGCGAAAGCTCTCCAGGTGGGTGACATCTAACAGAGCTAGGGAAGGAATGAAAGGATGAGGGAGCAGGGTCAGAGCTCCGTAATTGGCAATGGAAGGCAGTACTTCCCCAGCGGGAAGGGCTCAGAGGGCTTAGTCTAGCCGTCTTTCCAAGTCTTTACCACGAGCAGTAAAGCAAGCAACCCCTGAACTTGCTGACTTTGTACTTGACTCTGAGTTCCTTCAGCATGGAGGAGAAGTGGGCATGAAGTCCCACCCCAAGCCAAGAAGCCATTTGCAATTGATGGGTGCTGGGAGAGGGAGAATCAGTTCTCTTCAAAAAAGTTGCGCTGGGTCTGGCAATCACACTCCAGGGCGGGCCTCATGCTCAGGGCAATACACATCAGTATATTTTTTTAGAAAGAGAAAGGACATGGAGTCGAATGGGGAGAGAGGAGGGATTAAATATATTGCATGGAATTATCAAAGAAAAGCAAGACCTTCCCCAGCAATCCCTGAACCACTCAGATAAATGACAGACAGCCCTCGGAAGACAGCAAAAGCTGTCTGGCTTTAACAGGAATATTGGCATTGTAGAGCGGAATCTGAATGCTGGCTTTTAGTGATGTTGACAATAGGGTTACAATCAAGGAAAACAGGTAAAGTCACAGATGCAAAGGGTTACCATTTGAGAGAATGTGTAGTCTCTGGAAGCAAACTCTGTGCATAAAGGATATTGGCATACTCCAAAGTAATTGTCTTCAGGAAATCCACTTTTTTTTTAAAAAAAAAAATTACAATGGATTTTTATCATTGCTTCATTTGTGGTAAGATCTAGGAAAAGGGATTTATATAAACACTACAGTAGAACTGCTGAATGTCTTCTAAACGAAGATGTCACACTTTCTCCAGTATCTGTACATGTCTTCTACGAATCTGCATACATTCAATACGACGATACACCAATAGGATTCGCTATAGATGGCAGCTGATCCAAACAACCAAGATAAAACTCAATAAACAAATTGCACAGATAAGGTAATTTAGTTATTAAATTTAGCTGTTTTTCCTAAAGGTATCATCTTTTTCCACTTGAAAAATACATGCCACAGTGCCTCTTAGAATCATCAGCTTTCTACTGTGTTGGCCAAGAAACAGAAGTCTCTATGTCTACTCTCACTGGGATAACATAAGGGTAGCAGGAGAAAACTATATGAGTGGTCCAGACAAGATGTTGTCTTACCTGGAAAAATATATGTTTTTTAATTGATGCCTTTATAGTCTAGGAAATCCACTTTTCGAAGCAAGCACTTGACTTAAGGTTTAGCTCTTCGTAGACATGTTCTTTCTACCTGAAGTGTGTGCTCTTTGTCTTTGCTGTCTACTGTGTGGAGAGGTGAGCCATCAAGTTAGGTGACCCAAGCTTACAGGCAGTTTCATTTCCTTTTGGAATATGCTTATCACTATTAAAATACATGGTGGTGGTTTGGGAGCCTTAAAACATCTGGCATTTAAAAACACTTTGGAAATGTTTCAGGAAGATTTTTGCTCAGCTTTTGGGGCCTGCTTGAGGAAGCTCAAGAAAACTATCATGAAATGTCTCCCCACGGACACATTAACTACTCTAGACGAGAAACCAAGTCCAATAGAAGCAGCCTGCAAACTTCCGCATTACAAAACCAGAGCCAATTTCAGAGAAGAGCCAAAAGGACTAATGTTCCATGAATGTGCTCAGTTGGTTTTGAGGGTGTAAGCTTAGAACATGGGGAGGAGAGTTAAGTAGGCTTAGACGAGGGGGTGGGGGGTTTCTTCTTTAGCGTTTGATTATTTCTGCGAACCATTTCTATTGAAATGAAAACAGGATTGCAGAAAGCCTGGCCTGGGATTTGATTTTACTGTCCCGGACAAGAGATGAGCACCTACTGTGCAGGCGTAAAAGGCATAGTTCAGATCTCTAGCACCCATGGAAAGAGCCAAGGACACTGTACACCTGTAATCCTGGTGCTGGGAAGCACATTCAGTCCATTAGATGGGCCTCCAAGCATCTACATGGGGATTTTCTCCATCAATGATTGATGTGGGAGGGCCTAGCTCACCATGGGTGGTGCCACTCCTGGGTAGGGGATTCTAAGCAAGCCATGGAGAGCCAGACAGTGTGCAGCACTCCTGCACAGCCCCTGCTTCAGTTCGCACCTCCAGATTTCTGCTTGAGCTCCTGCCCTGGCTTTCCTTGTTGACTGGCTGGAACCTATAAGCCACATAAGTCCTCCCCTCCCCCCAACTGCTTTTGGTCAGCGTTTTAGCAAAGCAACAGAGAAGCGAAGTAGGACACTTATAAATACCAGGATGGCTGTCAGAAGGGAATGTTTTAGATTTAGCAGGTCTTTCAAGCCAGATGCTGCTCTTCTGCTTGCTTCCAAATAGGCTGTTCTTTCCCTGCAGCTGGGTGGCATATGACAAAATGAAAAGATGTTGATAACCCTTTACTCAGCTGGTAAATGAACGATTTAAATATTGACCTAAGGAGTACCTACATGGCAGCATCTGAGAGACCGTCTGCACTGACGGCTTCTTCATCATCCGCTTCTACGCTTGGCTATAAAGACTGATAATGAACCTGGATGTCTCACAGACTGGGTGTCCTCACTTTTAATGTGTGTCTGAATCCCTCAGGGTCTTGTTAAAATGCAAGTTCTGGTTTAGTTGGTCTCAGCTGGGCCCCAAAGATTCTACAGTCCTGACTAGCTACCAAGTGGTGCTGATACTGCCAATCCTTGGATTGCATTCTGGATAGTAAGGAGCTGGACAGTTTCCCATTATAGAAATATACCTTCAAAAGGCAGTTGTCATGAGTGGCTGATGGAAATCCCTAACGACCCCACAAATGAGAGCGGGAGAGAAAAAAAAAACCATTTAATGATACGTCAAAAATGTGATACAGATAAACAGTGAGGCTAGAGTACATGAAATAATATTCCATTAATTATGAAACAAGTACAGAGAATAGTCAGTTACAGAGGAGACTATAGGAGCAGCAGCCTATGAATAAGTTGGCGGGAAGCAAGCTGGCTTGATTCTGTGCACCTTGTATGGGAGAAGCAGCTGTTGCAGTTGGCTGATGTCCCTCTGTGTATCATCGGTGCTTGCTGCTTACTCAGAGCACAGGCCACTCTCCGGAGCGATGAGAGTGCAGAATTCATTAACTTTCTTGCCTGAGGCTCCTTGAGGAGAAAATAATCTGATTGCTTAACAAATGTATCGAAGATGGCAGGGAAAGTTGATTTTAGATACACATCGATTACCTGCTGAAGACGTATTTTCTACTTAGAAAGTGTTTCTGTTTTCCCTCCAGAGGTCTAAGGAACTCCCAATGCTGCCTTGTGGAGGCCCTGAGAGGCCAGATCTGCGGGTTCCGGTTCCCTTTCTTCACAATGCAACAGATATCACATCCATCGGCTGTAACACTGATTGGGTTTAGTTCAGCAAAGATACTTCGCATGCTGAACCCTCGGGGTTCATTGTTAAAGACCACGCTCTGCCCTGGCATTGGTGTTATGAAGGTTCTGGGCCATGCTTCTAACACACTCACACCAAAGCCACCCTTGTCTCAGGCATTGAAGCCCCTTCGTAGTAAAGCACAGGCAGCAACCAAGAGTCATTACACAGCGTTTATTCTAATTTCTTGGCATCGGGCCTCGAGGCCAAGGGTGAACTTACACCCCGCCCTTTCACACATGAGCCAGACCCCGGTTCACTCCTCCCTGGTCCCCCGAGAGACAGGCTAAGACCCTGGTGGCTGAGCAGAGAGCTTGGTGTTCTGGCTTCTGTTCTGTTCATCACTGACCACGGAAGCACCATGAATTCTATTGTTTTATCTTACATTTTTGTACTTATAGGATCCGTGCATATTAATATAATCTTGGAACTGAGGGATAGCTTCGTGAACGTGAACCAATATCATCTGCATACCTAAGCCCAAGTATTCCGGAGTGAGCCTCGAGGTTATTTATTTATTCATTCCCATTTCTTGGTAAAATTCCCTTGACTTCTCCGCTACGCAGAGGCAGAGGAGGTGAAAGGTCTCTACACTAGCGTGCTGTTAAAGCTCCAAAGAGCACCCGCGGGCCTCCATTCAGAACGGAATTCCTAGCATAGCCACAGGATTTGTCATGGCTGCCCATGACATGTTCTTGACATTCCCTGATCTCTGTCTTCCCTCGGCCTCTGGACGCTGGGCAGGAGTGAACTCTCCCAAGAGTGAGCAAGCCCGTGGTTTGCCCTGTCTTTAGCTGTAACTTCCTCTCTGTTCTCTAACTGTTTCATTTCTCAAGGTGCCACTCAGTTTTCCCGACCTCTTTTTCTCTCTGTCTCTATTACTTCTGAAAAGACACTGTTTCTGGGAATACAAGTACTTGGGAAGCCTTCCCAATGAAGTTAGAGACTACCAAGAGAATAAGTCGGGCATTCGAACACTTTTGAGAGCAAACACACTTCATATCCAGGCATCTGAACAAGAAAATGGTTTTCAAAACCACATAGACCTTGTTAGACAACGATGCCCAGCATGACATCAAATACGTCTTTAAAGCAAAAACACAGCTCGAAGTTTCCATCGTGCTGATCTCAGGAATGTTGGCTCGGAGAATGCCACGAGGTTTCTGTGAATTCTTTTTGAAGCTGAGTGTCACTGAATAGCTGAGGGTGAACTTAAATTCACAATCCTCCTGCCTCAGCTTTTTGAGTGCTGGGAGTATATGTGTGCGCCAGCATTCCTAGCTCTCTTATATGGTATTTAAAGAGGTTCGCCTCAATTCGGAGAATTCTCCTTGAAGACACTGAATTAATTCCCTAAGGCTTTTGCTCCTAGGAACGTGCACCTCAAATAAGGACATTTTTGTTGGATTCACATTCTGGATTTAGTATTTAGTTATTTGTTTATTTATGTGTTTATTTTGAGACAGGGTCTCCCTATGTAGCTTGGCTGGATGGGAACCTGCCCTGTAGACCAGGATGGCCTCAAACTGAGGGAAATCCTTGTGCCTCTGCCTCCTAAGAATAGGGATCACAGACCTGCGCTACCATGCTTGGCTTAGTTTCCCTCCCCCGAATAGTTTTAGGTTTAGTTGTGATTGTTTTCCTTTATCTCCTTGTTGGTGGTGCACTGGGAACTGTGATGGCTATATTCACTTCATTTGACGGTGCTTCTATAGACCAGAAACCCCCCAAATAAATGTCTTTATATATTGTAACCATACCTATTATCCTCCAAGTCACTGGACCAAAACCCACTTCCCACTGGAAGTGCAGAGCTTAGGTTTTGACTTTGCACCTTCGTAAGTCCTGGTTTAGGTTGTGGTACTTAATGACTTCTATAACTGTTCTTAGAACAAAGCTTTTCTTGGAAGGAATCATCCCAAGGAAAAAAAAAATCATCTTTCTATGGACATGGCTTTGATTTGTGTTTTAGCTTAAGCTGTCCATCAACTCTACTGAGTGACAATGAAAACAAAATCTGTCAAATTAGCGACTTAATTACATGGCGGTTTCTTCTGGATTGCAGGTACACTGGTGAGAAGATCAAGTTCTCGTTACTTTACCAGACCTTACCAGTGTGGTGGATTACTATTTGTTTATAGGAGCTTAACTACATGAAATTAAACATTTAAAATATAGCTGAAAGCCGTAGGAGAAACAGACGCAGCTCTACTGATCTGCTTGCAGAACTCCATCTCGATGTGGGTGATGCCAGGGTTTGTCTGAGCTCTGCACAGCCCACTGCTCTCAGTTGGTCCCAGCCACGTGTCTCATGTGCACACCGAAGGACTGCACTGTACTGCAGGTTCTGAGGCCTTTCCTGTCCTCACATGGATGCCAGCTGCCATGTGTTGACTTGGAAAGATGGCATGGACTATCAGCAAATCTTTCTTTCGATGTCTGTGCGTCCTTTTGTTTTCAATCCTCAGAACACTTGTTATTCAGTCTTGGGGCAGCAGACACTTTCGCGAAACAAACTCTCATTGGTCTATTGGAGGTGATGGCGAGGTGAGCCATTTGCCTGTTAGCTGCGCATATTTGGGAATTTCTCCCTAGCGGAGCCAACACATTGCTTTCAGTTTTTCCTCCACAACAGTAAGAAGTGAGGAGCAGCCCCCTAGCAAAGTGTAACTATGCCATAGTGTAGCAAAAGTGGCTCACAGCAATAATGTCATTACAGGGCATATAATCATCACTGAGCTGAAGGGGAATGGTGGTTTCCACAGCATTAAGGCTCACACATATTTGATTTCCATGTAGAAAGGCAGACAGTCCTTGCTACTCTAGGGGGCAAGCCTTGGATTACAGAACTCTTGTTTCCTTTTAGGTGGCTTATGTGTGTATGTGCATGTATGCATGTTATGCTTGTATATGTGTGCATGCATGTATGTGTGTATTTCAGAAAGTTTTTTGCCGTTATATGGGAGAGACGTGGAACAGTACTGACATGTAGAGGAAGCAAAAATACATTTCAGAAATTCTAAACAGCAAACCATTAAAACCTTCAAAGACTGAAGGAGTGTCATGAAAGGTCTTACGAAGACCTATATAATACAATTATCTTCTGTGATTTCTCCATGAGCAGAAAAGACTAGAAAGATTGGGATGCTTTCCCAACAGATGGAGTTTTAGTCTACAAAAAGTGAAATAATTTCATACTCTTAAGCTATGATTTGCTGATGCAATAAAGAAAATAAAAGGATAAATCAGCTTCCCTGGGTAATTCCAGGGCACCTGCAAGCAAATAAGACTAATTGGGGCCAATCGCAGCCTCTAAGTAAAACACGGAATGTCCCTGGCTGTTTGGAATTGTCACATTGAAAGGTGCAGGATTTCTCACTAGGAGCTCTTTCTGCTCGGGGCCAAACTCCCCATCAGGTGCCTCAGCCTAGAATGGGTTCCCCCACCCTCCATGGACATCTGGGAGAGGAGTTAAGGAAAGAGGGAGAGAGACAGTGATTTCCATACTGGCTGCAACTGGAAACTGTCCTGAACGGAAGCTTCATATGGGGCAAGCTGAGCAGCGCTTTCAGATGAAGCAAGCAGAAAAGTTAAGGCACTTTGACCCTGCAGGATTCTGGAACACTCATTTTTCATGTCTGGTATCCACAGCTCCTCCTCCTCCTCTTCTTCTTTTTCCCTTAAGGCCAGGCTGTGACTGGGGAACACAGGGATCTGGACCCAGGAGGAAGAGTGACTGGTGAATGGAAGGAGAGCTCAGACCTTCTGTGAGGGGTGGGGCAGGCCCACTCTGCTGGATCAGGAAGACGGCTTTCGCCATATTCTTGTCCTGACCAATTTAGATGAAAAGCCGAAGTCTATTTCTTTCTTCAAAGACAGTCTGTCTTCAGTTTGAACGACAGTAGAAGTTTGCAAGAGCAGGCCCCCATCACCTGAAGCATCTGTAGGATGAATCTTTGGCAAAACTGGGGAAACTGTGATAATTCATAGAATGTTTTCTTTTAAAAAGGCTAAAAAATTATAGGTCTGTTAAGTTTATGAAAGTTGTAGAGTGAGTTTTTTTTTAGGCATTCAGGGGTACATGTTGGCCCTAAGAACATTGGCAGAGACCCACCGTCAATAAGAGTGCATATAATCCAGGTTGTCTTTTAACTATTTTGAGTTGGATTTGCGAGGCTCAAGGGACTGGCCATCAGGAAACTATAATAGTGAGGAGCATTAGGACCCTTGGCTCAAACAACAGTCTCAGGAAAAATGTTGGTGTTGTGTTTCTAAATTTGGCAAAGGCATGAAGTAAGGCCACCGGTGCAGGACAGAATGCTTGGCTTTCCCGCCATGCTTTCCTGTCGATTTACATCTGTGGAAGGGAGATGTGAAATACAGGACGATGATGACTTGCTTCCAACACCTCCCCGGCACTGTCTGAATGTGGCTCGGCATCCTCCGTGCGCAGTGTGGATGCTCTGGCCTGGGGATGTGGCAGTGGCTGACAGGATGCTGAGCTGGGGAACTGGCAGGGCACAGGACAGGCCTCGGGACACAGGAATTCCTTTCCGGTCTTGCCCTCCGTTTTTGGCTGGAGCTGGGTCACAGAGACTGCTGCTCTGCGTACCCTTGGATGGCGGGGAGACGGGCCTTGGGCAACTTCAGATAACTGTACAGCAGCGGTGGCACTCGGAACAGCCTTTCTTTTTTTTCTTGGGGTGGAAAATAGTGAGAATGGCTTCATCGAAGACCGCCTTGAGACCCTTCTGCGTCAGGGCAGAACATTCCAGGTAACACTGTGCTCCGATCTTAAACACAAAGAAAGAGTCGTAAGTGTCAACCCTCTGCCTTGCCGGGTCCCCACATCCAGCCTGTTTCTAGTGTCCTTTCGTTTGTGTATGCAGCAGAGCAGGGACAGTGACATGAGGAGGCCCTTCTGTGTGGAATAAAGCAGGGTCCTTGGGCCAAGGGCGCACATCAGAAGTGTGGGCGGTAGCCATCTTGGATTATTCTTGATTGCTGTGTATATCTTTCGCAATATCATACCTGTTTTCTATTATTATTTAGTATCAATATACTTTGAAAAACAAATTTTAAATTAAAACACTAAAACATGAAGACAGAAAAATCATAGGAGATATTCATTGATAGAGATGCCTTTCTTCTCTGTACAGCCTTTATGTTAAGCGATATGCATTTTATACTGGGTTAATGTTTTATTTTCAATTATAAAAATTACTCATTAATTATTAATTAAAAACAAATAAAATATTAAGAAGTATATGGGTATTTTGCGTGTATGGTATGCCTGTACACATGCAGTGCCAATAGAGGCCAGAAGAAGGCATCAGATTCCCCTGGTACTAGAGTTACAGACAGTCATGGGTTCTGAGAATCGAACCCAGGTCCTCTGGAAGAGTAGCCAGTGCTAAGGCAATCCTCTAGCCCCTTAAAGCTTAAAAAAAGTTATTTCATACTATGGGGTATTTGAGAATCATAAACTCCTCATGAGAAACATAGACATTCAGGCCAGAAACTGTTGATTAAAGAAATCACTGGCCAGGAAGGGAGTGCTTGGCTGTTTCTTGGCTTCAGTAAAGGAGGAGGCCTGGGTATTCACACTTTATAAGCTCATATGAGCCAACAATGCGCTGAGGGGCCTCTGAATATTAAAAACATCCAGAGAAACACCTTTCTTTTTGTGGTTTTCCACTATGAGACCAAGTAAATGCAGAAGAGGTCTGCTGGATATTGAACCTGGCAACTATAGCAGTGAACTGGCGGGGGGAGGGGGAGAAGAAAAGGCAGCAAACGCATCACTGTGTTATAGCTGGGTGCTTGGAGAAATGATGAACAGGGCTTCTGGGGGACCAGGAGAAAGGGACTGTGGCTCGCGTCCCCACTGTCATGAGATGGGTGACTTCCCTAGCTCCCACAAGGTCACTCTGGATCATGGTTGTTCATTTTTCTATTTTTCTAGAGAGCTGGAGAGTTAGAGTTTCGGTTAAGGTACACAACTGAGAGAGACATTCTGTGAGTCAGCCAGGATACAGATGTTGGAGGCAGGAAGGTCATATAATGTGGAGAAGAGAAACTTGGGGTTTATCTTAGACAAGAGTGGGTGCAGGCCAAGCAAAGCAAAGTGAACATTTAAACAGAAGGAGAATTATGTTTAAAATGTCTGTCTCTTGAGGTGTGTGTGTGTGTATCTCTGTGTGTGTGTATCTGTAGTGGCATTTCATTTGTGTTTTAATAAATACATCTGTCTGAAGATCAGAGAATAAAACAGCCCCCCCCCCCCACTGGTCAACTTTACAGATCAGGTAGTGTTGACACACACTTTAATCCCAGTAGCCACACTAGTTGCCATAGAAACTGGGCAGTACATGCCTTTAATCTCAGCCCTAGAGAGGATTATTAAGACGGGAGGAGACAGCTCAGTCACAGTCTCATTCTGAGATTCCTGGAGGCAGGATCGCCATTTTGGACTGGTAAGAGCCAGTGACTGGTTATTTTATTTTTCTGGCTTTCAGGTTGAACCCCAATTTCTCTCTCTGAGTTTTTATTAATCGTGCTTCATGTATCTGTGTATGTGTCTCTGTGTGTCTTTGTGTCTGTGTGTATCTGTGTGTGTATATGTATGTGTATCTCTCTGTGAGTATGTATCTGTGTGTGTCTGTGTGTTTATGTGTATCTGTGCATGTGTATTTATGTCTGTGTGTCTTTGTGTGTCACTCTGTGTGTATGTATGTGTATCTCTCTGTGTGTATGTGTCTGTGTGTGTCTCTGTGTGTATGTATCTGTGTGTGTTGTATGTGTATCTGTGCATATGTATTTATGTCTGTGTGTGTCTCTCTCTCTTGTGTATATGTATGTATATCTCTGTGTGTGTGTGCCCACATATGTAGGCCTGAGGAGGATATCAGGTGTCTTTCTCTGTCACTCTCTGTCCTGTGCCCTGTGAAAAGGGTCTTTCATTCAGCCTAGACCTGGCTGGCCAGTGAACTGCTGGGATCTGCCAGTCTCTGTCCAGTGCTAGGGTTACTGCACAAGGGGCCAAGCCTGGCTTCTATGTGGGTTCTGGGATTTAAACTCTCATGTAGCTCATATATTTGCATAGCAAGTGCTCTTACACGATGAGCCATCTTCTCGGCCCTTGGGCTGTGCTGTTTTTCTTATTCTCCGAGCCTCTGTGACTTCTATTACCCAGCCCAAGAACAAGCTGGTCAAGCTGACTGTCATTGAAACAGGATTTTTTGAAATGTCACAGATATATAGTCTCGGTATGAAATAAAATTGCTTTGGTCAGGTCCTGAAATTTCTTCCAAAACTCTTCCTACAGACGGCATGTAAGTTTTTGGTATGTGTTCTTTTCTGATAAGAAGGGCTGTTTTATAAGCCAACAGGAAATGCCAAAAGCAGGGAGCTGAAACCATCAGTGGACACTGAACGTCTACTCTATGGATTTTGTTTTGGCAATGGTCTGGCCTTTAGATTCTGAAACGACTTCAAAAAAAATTCATTAAAAACAGGATATGAGACAGAGGGAAGGGGGATAGAGAATTTCTTTTCTAACAATTACACGAAATGTCATCTGCTGCCTTTGGGGCTTGTATCCTAGCTTGATCCGCACACATGCAAAAGGCACAGCGAGGAATGGTTAACTGAACGGCTGCTTGCTTGTAGTGACTCTTGTCAGTCATGCAGAGGGAACAACAATATCAACAACAGCAACAAAAAACCCTGGAAAGTGCTGGAGGCTGTGTAATTGGACGACCTTCCCACTGATGATCCCAAAACTCAAGAGTGAGTCCAAAAATTCCAGGAGTTTGACTGACTCTGTTCATCCATTCTGGAACCCCGAGAGACGAGTGGGGCTTGCTCTCTTCCTCCCCACAACTGACAGTGGATTAGAGTATTACCCTGTCCACCTGTGCCTCTGAATGACCAAGGAGGAGCCCAAACTTGTCTCTCCCGGTTCTGACATGTGGGGAGAGAACGGGACAGTCCATAAAGGCATTGCCATGTCAGGAGGTTAATGTAACATTACGGCGTGCTGATGGTTCCAGGAAAAGCAGCCAACAGATTTCGGGCGTGACCTGGGACGTACGTGTGAGGAACAGAACCCAGTTGTGAGGTGACTGCTTGCTGCCGTGTTCTACGTGCTCAGAGGGTCAGAGAGGAGTGTTTGTCCTGGTTCAGGGAAAGGGCACAGGCATGTTAGAAAGAATGCTTCAGGCTCGCTGAAGACTGAATGGAAAATCGTGTCAAGGAGACACAGCCCTCCTTGTTCGCATCTGCAGCCTTTCCTGGTTCTTGGAGAAAAATGACCCATGCTGCCAGGCATTTGGGACCCATCTGCAGAAACTGAGACTCCTTGTTTTGACACACGTGTGAGCGATCTGAAGCAGGGTTTACCAAGCTGACACATTTCACGGGAACAAAACACAGGAGAGACTGAGGCTGCGAACAGAGTGCCTTTCTGATACCTTCCTTACAGTACTGAAGATGCATTGTTCCCAGTGCCGGGCAACATGCCACAAAGACAGAACGCACACAATCTGATGGGAAGAAAAGAAAACAAACCAACTCCCAACGTGTCTAATCAAGTGAAACGGCAAGCGAGTCCTTTTTTCTTCCTCTGATGGGGTGGGACATGCTGAAGAGGCATAGAAATAACTAGAAGGGTGGGGAGGGGAGGGAGCCTAGCTGGCGGCATTCTTGCCCAGGATGTTCAAAGCCTGGATTTTGGTTCCCAGCTCTGCATAAAATAAAACCAGGTGTGATACCAGCCACGAGAGAAAGGTAGAGGACCGGGGTCATCCTCAGGTAGATATGAGTTCAGGGCCAGCCTGGGCTACGTGAGAGCTTTCTGAAATCAAAACCAAAAACTAGTAGCTAGAAGGAACAGAGGAAAATATTGACAATAACACACACTGCAAGGAGGTGCTTTGACACACATGATCAACACTGTGTAAATTCTTGCTATTCTAGTAAACTATGTGGTAGAGGAATCAAAGACCGAAGAAAGTTAAAACATTTCTGTTATTCCATGAATTGTCACGAAACCAGTTAAGAATCTCACTTGGCTTTCTTTTAGTTAGGATGTCATAGGCTCCACATGATTGTGAATCTGAGAGCAGTTGCTAGGAGAGGCTGGCAAAAGGCAACCAAGTGATGAACTCAGCCGCTGTTCTTAAAGTAAATCTGAAACAAAATGGAAGGTTTTGGAGAGGGAAAAACCAAAAGCCAACTTCCCAAATGAGAAGTGAGGCTAGAAAGCCACCAAGAAACTTGAAGTTGAGGACAGCCCCAGAGACAAGGGACAGAGAGAACAAACTCCTACAGAAACAGTGGGGTGCCTGCTAGGAGTCACAGATGGTTACATACATTAACATGTAGGTTAATGAGAGTATCTGGCTGAGTGTTGGAGTAGAACCTCAGACCTGCTCATTTTCCTAGGGAATGAACACACACACACACACACACACACACACACACACACACCTGGAGAAGAGACAATGGGCATGACACTCAGGTGCCCAGATGGTAGTGTGCACACAGATGGATTCAAATGTGTCAGCCATTCGGACCTGCTTGTCTCCCCAGGGCTGTTTCCTCTCCCCTAAGAGGCTTAGCATCCCACCATCTTCTCGAATGCCCTGTTCTTGTTCTGGAGGAAGCAGAAAGAGTTCAAGTGTGTGTGTGTGTGTGTGTGTGTGTGTGTGTGTATGTGTGTGTATGTGTGTATTTGTGTGTGTATGTGTGTTTGTATGTGTGTGTGTGTGTGTGTATGCGTGTGTGTATGTGTGTGTGTGTGTGTATGTGTGTGTGTATTTGTGAGAGAGAGAGAGATGTCTTTATACATCGTGCCCATAAGACATCAGAGTTAATCCACTTCTAGAGAAGCTGTCATATTACATCTGGCAGGTACCTCTAGACAAGTTTTAATAAGAGAAATGCCTCTTTCTTTTGGCTAAGGAGTAATTTGTAGTTAATGCCATTGTTGACTAGGTTTGAGAAGGTGAACAACTGCCTGGGGGCACACATTTTGCAGGGTTAGTTACTGAGAAAGTAAAACATTAAAAATTTAAAGTCTCCTTGGGTTGAAGGATTGGCGACGACATCAGGGAGGAAGTGGCCTCAAATTGGGGAAGTGTGGTCCTTCAGTCTCCTTCTGCAGAAAGGAGTCGCGTGCACATGTGTTCATTTTAGTGGCTGCTTTGCACGCGCCATGGTGGTGGCAGGGAGACAAAGGTCTGGTGTCTGGCAGATGCATTTTGAAGCACTTCTACAACAAGATCACTGGTGATGGCTCTCTCTCAGAAGTGGAGAACAGCCAATGGAGGAGACTCCATTTCTTCTGAGCTAGCTGACTTCATCTGTCAAGCTGCCACTTCGCCACTTAGATGCCTCACCCCGTTACTCCTAGCTGTATGTTATTTTTTCCATACGCTGTTTGTATCAGTGTCTAGACTAAGTGACTATGCATTATAAGAAGAGAAGTATTGGACAAAGATAACTCTGTCAGATGATTTTCATCCAAGTTTTTCCCTGCGGCAGGAGGAGAAGGAAAATCCCAAAATGCCTCCTGTGAGGCCATCTAGGTGAGTTACCCTGGCCATAAACAGGGAGGTTTGTAGATGTATGTCTAACGAGTCCCCTTAATTCCTGCTTAATGGGGCAAGTGCGTTTTCTAGACAAAGCTGAAGCAAAATGGGAAGTGCTTAGCTGTTGAAACTCATGGAGTTTCTTAATGAAAAGCAGAAGGTGCCTGCTGACAGGAACACTTACCAACATGGCCCCTTCTAGCTCATCTAGAACAGAAGAAGAAAGAAAACACGAAGATTCGAAACACACGGCAGTTTAAGGCAAAACCCGTCACAGCTCCCCCATCCTTGAACACGCAATTCAACTGTGACCATACCGCTTTTGCCAACTTCACGCCATGCTCATAGGTGAGGGGCTTCTCTTTCATGTACAGGAGACGGGCCAAGGTTTTGGGGTCATCCCGGAGATCAATCTGGGACAAAGATACATTCACTATTTTTAGGCCTTCTCAGTTATTTTAAGTGAAGCTATAAGATAGTACCCTTTCCTGGCAAGGTCTTTGGTGCTGCTGAGTGTTCTCCAAGAAGTCAATATACTCACCCAAGCTATAGCCGAGAGTGTGAAGTGGTTTATTTTTATATTTATTTATTGCACATGGATGTAGCAGGGTGGCCTTATACTTTCTTCTTCACAGCATTTACCCTGGCTGCTGTGCCATCTGAAGTTTTGAATTTTCTCTTTCTTTCTAGAATTCACAGGTGCTAACCAGATGGCCTGGGGGCCTTGCAGTGATTAATTATTTGACTGTAACTTTGCAACTTATATCACTCATTATATAATACTTTTCCGTTATATAATACTTTGGATCCATTCTTTTTTTTTTTTTTCCCTTTTCTGAATCAAATCTTGCCCTTCAAAGGGATGGATATTTGCTCCCTGAGCCCTTTTCAACAAATAACAAATGGATTGGCAGTGCCTGCAGGGGAGTCCCAGTGATGAGAGGCCAAAGGGCTCTCACAGTCCAACAGCAGAAACCCTCCAGGGGGACCTGCTTTGAAGGCAGCGGGTAAAAGACTGGACAGTTTACTAAACACTGTGCTTGCTTTCAAATGCCACTGTGTATGTGGGCACACAGGGTTTGCTTCTTAAGGGAAGTCACAAGGCCGCGCTACGACCCAACCGATTAGGATGATGCTTATGCAAAGTCTTGGTGTTTCCATTTGCTTTTCTAGCTTCCTTCATCATTTGACTGGGTGTCTGTCTGTGCAGTGACTGAAGGACTCAAGTCACCCCGAGGGGTTTGATGTCCAGTTGTGTATGCTGGCAGCAGGATCCAAGCTCCTCATTATGGACAAATACTAATATTTACAATTGAAGGTAAGTGACTTCATTTAAACAAACAAACAACAGTTATTGTTCAGAGCAGAGATGTGAATTGTACCCAGCAGTGTGGATAAATGAGTTAGTTCTACATTGTCTGTTTTTAAGAGAAAATACATATCCCCATCTGCCCATGTTGTTTTTAGAAAGCATTTTTCTTTTATTTATGGCTTTAAATTTTTCTTTTTGTCAAGTAGGATTCAACATGAGGACTCAGAAACAGGAGCACAAGAAGGAGGTTCAAAGACCGGCAGCCATAACAAAGTCCTGACCTATGGGCACTCATGCCCCTAGAACCAGCAAAGAACCAAACCCACTTAAACTACAGATGGTTCAGATATCCTCAACCAACAAGAGGAAATTTTTCTTGATGGAAATTCAAGCTGTAGAATTTTATCAGCTTCCAAACCCTCCCACGGTGTTGACAATTCATTCATGTTGCTCTTACTATGTGTGTTTTAATTTCCCCCAAGATCTGGGTGGTCAAGGAGTTAAGGAAAAGGCAGAACAGAGAGTTTATCTTCCTTCTCCAGCAGGGCCATCAAGGAGACCTGTCATGATTTGCCCCATCTGAATGTAGGGTCATTTTGATCTGCACATCTAGTTTGCTCTATTAAAACTGGGATGTCTAGTTTAAAAAATATCAGATAGTATATACAGTTGATGACCCTTCTTCATTCCTGCACTCAGGGCTGGAGAAGAGTGTCTGCTAAAAAAAAATTGTTATCTAAAAAAAACAAACTGTGAGGTTAATTTTAAATGCCAGCTCAAAACTTTCTGCTTCATATTAAATAGCTATATACCGTTTTCAACTAAATAATCACGTACCTTCAGGACTTTGGTTCAGGGATGAGATATCTCTGAGATTCTGTCCTGGTCTTTGGTGGAATACAGGTTTCACCTTTCGCCCATCTCCTCCCACCCCTCCATCACCCTCATTTTAACCTGGGTCCCGATGAGCACGTAAGGCACATGAGGCATGCAGTCCTTCAGTTCCGGGACCCACTCCTCCTGGACGTTGTGATAAGAGGCGGGGTTTACGACAGAGAAGCAGATGAGAAACACGTCGGTGTTGGGGTAGGAGAGTGGCCGCAGCTGGTTGTAGTCCTCCTGTGGGAAGAGCAGAGGAGGGTTGGTACAGGCTGAGCCCAGAGTTGGTGTGGTTCTTGGGACTCAGGCAGTGTCGGGGCCACTATAGCAGCTGGTAAGCCACGCCCTTCGTTGTGCGCAGAGATCTCCTATTTCCCATTTCAGAGCAACTTAAAAATAGTAAACAGCTTTATTGAGGTACAATTTACATATCATAATGTCTACCCACTCGTTTCTCCTTTAAATTGTGTGTTAGATAAAGTATAGCCATCATGTTTTATTACACTGCAGTTAAGGGAGTGAGCCCATTGGTCTCCTCACTTGGTTACTGTTTTTACCAATGACAGCGCCTAAAATCTACCTCTCTGGCACTTTCCTAACATACCGCTGCTCACCTCTGGCTATAGTTCTTGTGCTGCGACTGGTAGCTTCTAGAATTATTCATCCTCCCTAATGGTACCCTTGTGCTTTGATCCCTATCTCCCCACTTCCTGCCCCTTCTTGCCCCAGGTACCTTCAGCTCTGCTTCCTGGCTTCAGAAACTCTCCCCTTTAAACAGTACAATTAGCAGGGATGCATGAGATTCTCCTGGGACACAAAAATTGCATCGTCTGGAACATGTATTTAAATGACGGCTAGGTCATTGACCCTTTCATCTTCTATTAAACAATTATAGATTGTTTTCAAATTTAACACGGAGTAGACTAACATACAAAGCAAAGCATCGTTGCCAAATGAGATACATTTGTTGAAGAAATATGTTTGGGATTTGTTTGTAAATTGACCTGAGTGCGATGGTGTGGTTGTCCCCCCCGCCCCCCCCCCCCTTTTTGCCAGTTGTTTGGTTGCTAAGGAGTTTTGGTAACACTTAGCCAATAGTAATGTATGTTCAGACATGTTTTATTTATATATGTATCCACATACTATCACATGTATCACACGCGTGTCAATACAGTGGTATCCCATATAGGCACGTGTTCTATGTACACGTGGCAGATGCCAGGGAGCCCTGTCCTTTGGGCATAGTGTGGTTGTTCCCATCTCCCCAGAGCAGCTGTGGCTACAGGGAGCTCCCTGTCCACAGCTTTCCTGTGTCCGTTTACTACAGTGACTTTCATCAAGGTCCCGGTGCAGGCTAAGACCTGCAAGCGAAGAGACAACATCATCTGTTACTCCTCACAACATTTGATGTCCTTCTCAGACTGGCATAAATAGACCAGGGGCCAGGCTCTACCTCTGCTCTGTCCACACACAATTTTATGAAGAAGGGTGACTCATTGTAAAAAAAGCAGGGTTTAGGGGCTGGAAAGATAGCTCAGTGTTTAGGCTCTTCCAGAGGACTGGGGTTCAATGCCCAGATCCCAAATGACAGCTCCCAACAGCTTGTAATTCCCGTTCTAGGGTATACAGCGCCCTCTTCTGGCCTCCCTGGGCATAGGCACATAAATGGAGCATTGGGCTGGGTATGGAAGCATCCTTTACTGTACAGGTGCTGGCCTGGAGTGGAGAAAGCCTATCGGCATGTAGCACCAGCATCTTCATCATCAGACCGTGAGGCTTGGGACCCTCAACAAGGACCAGGCGCCACTGCAAGAAGGATGTGCACAATCTCTTGGGGTTCTCCCAGAAGCAGTAGACAGATGGCACAATCATGTTAAAATAAGGGCGGCGGGGCTGCGTCCCTGGCACCCGGCCGCCCGCACGGCTAGCTTTACCCGAAATAATTACACGGAAACTGTATTCTTTTAAACACCGCTTGGCCCATTATATCTAGCCTTTTCTCGGCTAGCTCTGGCACCTGGACTAGCCCATTTCTTATAATCTGTGTAGCCCACGAACTGGCTTACCAGGAATGATCTTAACCTGCGTCTGCCTGGAGTGGGAGAATCATGGCAACTCCCTGACTCAGCTTCTTTCTCCCAACCTTCTGTTCTGTTTACTCCTCCCACCTATGTTTTAACCTATGAGGGCCAAGCAGTTTCTTTATTGCTTAACCAATGAAATCAACAGATTGATATATGACAGTCCCACATCACAATCGTATGCATTTTACACAGGAGGAGATCAAGGACCAGGGCCACCAAGTCATCAAATACCCAAAGGAAGCATTTTGCGTGTTTTCAGACCTAGGTTTTGATTTGGACTGCTATTGCCTTATCTCAGGATTTTAGATGACAGATTACGACTTTTTTTTGGGGGGGGGCTCGGCTATCTAGGAATGTGTATAGGTTAACTTCACTGTATAGGTTTATGTGTTCGTGCATTTGTTTGATAGCATTGGCTACAAGTTGCCACAAGATGGCAGAAGACACTGTATATTGAAAATCTCAACTCTTTTGCCTGCTGCCAGCAACCAAACCAAAACAATTGGTTTAGCCTCAGACCCAGGCAAGGGAGGAGCGGATAACTGGTGGGTGGTCTGAAAGGAGAGAGTTTATTTAGTGCTTGATCTGCTAGCCATTGATTAAAATGCTGCTTAGATGATGGGAAAGCCGGGGAGGTGAGAGGTGTGTTCAGATGCTCTCCCGACAGAGAAGGATTTCGGGTGGTGTGAGATTTTGGGCTTCACAGGGCTCTGGGCTCAGGGCTCAGGTCTCTGGGCTCTCGGTTTCTTTGCTGTTGGGACTTTAGTCCTGCTGTGTAAGTCCATGTAAAGGGTCTGATTACTCACTGGGTGTGTGACACTGTCAAGGATGCCGTATGAGCTGGATAAGGTGATTAAGATCTGGAAATCAAGTTGAGGAAAGAATGAAAAGACAAAAAACAATTCCATGTAGGTGAACGGTGACAGAAGTTTCTCTGTCTCTTTTAGTTATTCTGAGAGGGTAGAGCATTTATCTGACTGAACTGGAAAATTCCCGTGTTAAATCTGGAAGATCCTCTAGACCTGAGTTAATATAGTAATTTCCAAAGGCTGGTCCCCAGGCTGGCAGTACAGCTCCTTCAGACTATACACTCCCTGGCGTCCCAAGCTTAAACTCACGGGGCGCTGAGCCCCACATGGCTCTGCCAGCCTGGCACAGTTCTGATGCCGCTCATTTCCCAGGGCTCAGGTTACCATTCTTTTCCCTGCCACCAGCCGTACAGCTCTCAGACTGGAATATCCAATAGATTTCAACAGGACTGGAGAGAGAAACATCTCTCAACGTAGGTCTATGCCTGGTTGGGAGGAGCCTGCCACCGCTGGTTGTGGCTGTGGCTAGGAACTATGGCAGAAGTCCAGAATTAATAAAAAAGAACTCCGGGTTTGGCGATGTGAGGAGGTTGGGAGTTTGAATTCATACCCACTGATGACTTGAATGGGTTTTGTGATGAAATATACGTGGACTGTGTAGGTTATGGTCACATTCCTGAAGATGATGTCGCTCAGCCGTGAGGAAGGGCTAAATGGTCCCAATGGCATTGAGGCCTCTTCTAATACTGAAAATGACTCTTGGCAACAGGCGTTTGTGTGCTTCGTGAAGAGACAATGTGTTCATCTATAAAATCCACTTTGTGTGCTTTGGAGGGCTAAGCTGGATGCAAGGGGACTTGGACTAGGGCAGGGAAGGTACGGATTTGGGACTGTGTACGTTTTTGAGTACTTGCTACCCACTGCCCCGCAAGGCAAGCAAGGGTTCAGGTCAGAGGTGGATCTGGGGCTGTCAAGTGTGGGCGCTGTGGATGGTTATTTCAAAGGTTCTGAGGAACACTCAGCACAAACTGGCTGATCATCTGGGCCTCAGATACATTCACGAGCAGCTGCGTCACGAAGGCACAGTGGTGGAACTACAAAGCCTTTAGTTCTCCTTGCATTGGGTCACTGGAAACTCATTGCACAGTGGATTTCTGCTCAGCACTAGGTCTGGAGTGAAGCCTAGAATGCGCATGTCTGGTGAGCACCCAGGGGCTGCGCTCTGTGTAGCAAGGAGAAGCATTGAGTTCTGCCACCTGCCTCAGACTCACAAGAGGCTGGGAAGAAATTCTGCTTTTTTTTTTCCCAAAGGACATGGTCAATAAGACAAAACGGCAGCCGACAGAATGGGAAAAGATCTTCACCAACCACACATCAGACAGAGGTCTGATCTCCAAAATATACAAAGAACTCAAGAAATTGGTCATCAAAAGAACAAATAAGCCAATAGAAAATGGAATACAGACCTAATCAGAGAACTCTCAACAGAGAAATCTGAAATGGCTGAAAGACACTTAAGGAAATGTTCAACATCCTTAGTCATCAGAGAAATGCAAATCAAAACAACTCTGAGATTCCATCTTACATCTGTAAGAATGGCCAAGATCAAAATCACTGATGACAATTCATGCTGGAGAGGTTGTGGGGAAAAGGGAACACTCCTCCATTGCTGGTGGGAATGCAAACTGGTACAGCCCTTTGGATGTCAGTGTGGCGATTTCTCAAGAAATTAGGAAACAACCTTCCTCAAGACCCAGCAATACCACTTTTGGGTATATATCCAAAGGATGCTCAATAGTGCCACAAGGACATATGCTTAACTGTTCATAGCAGCACTGTTTGTCATAGCCAGAACCGGGAAACAACCTACATGCCCCTGGACCCGAAGAATGGATAAGGAAAATGTGGTACATTTACACAATGGAGTACTACACAGCAGAGAAAAATAATGACATCTTGAAATTTGCAGGCAAATGGATGGATCTAGAAAACATAATATTGAGTGAGGTAACCCCAGACCCAGAAAGGCAATTATCACATGTGTTTACTCATAAGTGGGTTTTAAACATAAAGCAAAGAAAACCAGCCTGCAAATCACAATCACAGAGAACTTAGACAACAACGAGGACCTTAAGAGAGACTTACATAGATCTAATCTACATGGGAAGTAGAATAAGACAAGATCTCCTGAGTAGATTGGGAGCACTGGGAGCATGGGGACCATGGGAAAGAGTTGAAGGGGAGGGGAGATGCAGGGAGGGGAGCAGAGAAAAATGTAGAGCTCAATGAAATCAATAAATTTTGCTTTTTTTTTTTTCTGTGTGAGCTGCCTGACATTTAGCCCAGG